GAAGAGTTTTGGGTCTTGAAATGTATAAAATTGAGGTTTAAAATTGCAAAACTCAACTTAAGCTTTACAGTAGAATTTTGGACTACAAATGAACCTAGACTGCACGTGTGGCCCAACTGCCCTTGTTCCAAATGATGTTCTACAAAAATTGCATGTGCAGGCGCACGTGCAGTGAAGGTTCCACATGGGCGGCTAGGGCTCCTGCACGTGCGATTTTCAGGGCAGGTTTGAAATTGTTTTCGTTCCATTTTCAGACTTTCGGACCTCTATTTGCATGGTTTTCACATGTTTTTCGCAAGCATTCACATATCATGAGCATGTAATAAATGAGAAAACGAATTGAACTAAATGAAAGAACAAGTAACGATGAACCGAACAAAATATGAGTAAGAACTGACGACATGAATTGAATATTTGTTGAATTGTTGTGCGATGAATGTTTGTATTTGTAGGTCAAGACTCGAAGACCTAGAAACCGGTTATGGGAGCCCACTGTGAGTAACATTACCGTAAAGATATGTTTATATAAAATATATTTGCATTGCTATTTAATAAGTCATGTTTTTTTTTTGAAATGGTATTTTGTGAATGTGAATGAATATTTGGTTTTGAATTTATTATGGCTTCCAAGGAGTGGTCCCAATTCATAGGGGGCTGCATGTTAATGCAGGTCCATGACAAATAAATGATTATGAGATCTCATTAGCCACTTGACAAAGTGGCGATATGTTTAATCGGTATCCGGAACCGATTACTCTAGTCGGAAGATGATATCATATGTTCTGTTGGATGTACCACTATTATGTTTCGATATGAAAATAATTGTGATATGATTTGTTATATGGATATGATATATTTGGAATTCGTTCACTAACCTCTTTACTTTAATGTTATTCACTGTGTTTTAGCTCACTGTGTACATATATATATATATATATGTATAGGTAAGCGTCAGGAAGAGCAAGCCTAGGAGGAATCCTTTAGCCAAGCCACCCGTTAAAGCCTTTGGAGTTTGTTTGGGTGCCTTTGAGTTGAGGCTAGGTCTAGAAGACGGTTGTCAAGTTTTTGATCATGATGTTGATACTTTGATATATGTGTATTTGTAGATAAATGTTTTTGTACCTGTTGAGATGTATGTATTACTGAATGGGTAAATTAATGTAGTTATGTGTTTATTCATATAGTTATCATAGCTCAATGGACTATTTGGTTTATATTACAAGCTTCCGCTAGCCCCGATTATTGTGATTTGTATAGGAAGGCTTTTGGTAATCTCGGATTACTGGCCGGTCACCTCACCGACTCTTATGGGGCGGGGTTTGGGTCGTGACAAAATAGTATCAGAGCACAAGTTAATTTACCCACACACGTGTCCAATTGAGCTATAGGAAGTCTAGAAAAGAGTTAGGAACATTTGCATTATGCTACAAGTGTGTGAGTGAAGATGTGAATCCATGAACTCCATGTGAACATGAGAATAAAAGTTATTGTAACGCCCCAAAATAAATACGACCAACCCATCTCATAAGCAGAAATATAATTTAAACAACATGTTTTCATTCATCAGAGTTTGATATATAAAAGGTGACACATGCAGTGCACATTCATAAACAGTTTATCCTGAATTTACAGCATGTGTTACAAGTGATAATAAAGGATGAAAGCTAAACATATATTTATATGCCCTAAAGGCTTACATCTGTTACGACCCAAACCTATCCCTATAGGTTTAGCGTCGTAACTGGCCAGTAACCCTTGGATTACCAAAGGCCTCTGACTTGAATAACATATAATTGGGGGCTGCGGAATCAAATATATAAATATACGTAGTCCATTAAGTTGTGCTGACATACATGGAACAAAAATGTAAAACTAGTATAAAATATATACATATATGATGTCATATCCACATAAGTATTGCAACACCGTACAAGGCGTGCGGATGAACAAAAATAGAACAAAACGTAAGCGTTCTTAGCATGATACACAAAACAAACTTTTAGCATGGTCCACAAAACTTGACTTCTATAGACGGGAACCTCCCCGAGAGGCATGGTGGCTGGCTGACTCCAAAACCCTTCAGGCAGTAGCTTAGGCCTGGTCATGCGCCTGCTCACCTACATACGTAATATAAACAGTGAGCGGAAGCCTAGTGAATAATAACAGAGTAAAGGGTTAAATAAATGATATCCCACCAGATTCAGAAAATAGAAACAGATTCATATTCATATACTTGTTTGAATCATATACATAAATTAGAATTCATGCTTGTTCATATGTGGTACATCCATTAGCGTTAACAAATTAAATTCAGAACATTAACGGTCATATTTGTTAGTTTCATAAAGGAACCTCCAGTACCAGGAATAGATAACATGCTTGCCAGTTCCACAAAGGAACCTTCAGTACTGGGAACAGATAAAAAACTTTCCAGTTCCACAAAGGAACCTCCAGTACTGGGAACAGATCACACACTTGTCAGTTCCGCAAAGGAACCTCCAATACCGGGAATAGATCATATACTTGAACCATGGAAATATTGCCATGAGTGCTTGTCAGAAACTGGAAAATCATTTATTGTACAGATCATAACATTTCATAAAACAGAATTATTCCACATACAGAAAATAAATAAAATTAAACATAGTTTTACTAAGGTATTACTCATAGATGGCTCCACTTACAGAACAAATTAAGCAGACAAGTTAGATAACTTGCGGCGCGTGGCCCACACAGAAATAGAACGAAGATGTACTGAATTACACACCCGAAACCATTAGCTTAGTTCTTTCTTATTTTGGTGTGTTTCTACTTCTTACCCTCATTATTATGACTTGACCCTGGCCTAGGAATGCCCTGGATGTAATGAGGATGCTGGAATGCATGTTTTGACATGCATGTTCATATCTTAGTTTTGTTCAAAGAATTCAACTTGTTTTTGAGCTTAATGACTCATTTGATCCTGTTTTGGAAGGTTGGAATTCATGACATTTCATGCAACTTATGTTATCTAAGTTTCAAGTTTTGTTTACTACAATCGGCATAGCTTTTGGGCTTGATTTTGCAAAATAGTTTGTAATTCATCATGTACTATGAGTTTCTCAATGTTTTACTAAGTTTTGGTCCAAAAGGATGTGTTTTGAAGATTTTGAAATTGAGTTTTGAGCTTGGGAGCAAATCTAGAAATTTCAGAATTTTGCTCTTATGCTTGAGCGAAGGAATCTATGCTCGAGGGACCACTCTGAGTGTGTGTACTTTCGCTCGAGCGACCAAAAGTCTGCTCAAGCATAAAATGCATGCTCCCAGAAGTTCTTTTGTTTCGTAGACCGCTCGAGTGACAAAAGTTATGCTCGAGAGAGGGTATGTCTCTTATGCTCGAGCGAGCGTCGAGCGAGCATTGAGCGAAAAAATCATGCAACCAGCACTTTTGCAAAAGTTTACAGACTGCTCGAGCTATAGATCTCGCGCTCGAGCGACCACTCACATCTTGCATGTCCGCTCGAGCATAGGAAGTTGCGCTCGAGCGAGGACCCTGTTTTTAACAAGTTTTGTTAAGTGTTTTCAAGTATATTTTTGTATCCTCATTCCATCATAGGCATTCCTAGGCCATGATTAAGGCATAACAATGAGGATAAAAGTAGAGATACACCAAGATAAGAAAGAACAAAGTAAATGTTTTTGGGTGTGTAATTCAGTATGTATTCGTTTTGTACCTATGTAGGTCACGCGCCACAAGATATCTGAATTGCCTACCCTATCCGTCTGATTGGAGCCATCCGTTATTTGTGAGTAATAATTCTGTAAAGTTATGTTAGACTTGATTATTTTTTGATGATATGACATGATTAGTTTTCTAAAATGCTATGTTTTGTATGAATGAATGATTGTCCAAGTTTCTAAAATGTACTCGTGGCATCCATAGCATCATGTGATATTTTGCGTCCCTTTATGGGCCATCGGAATGCCTTTACGGCCGTTCCTTTTATGGGTCATCGGAAACGTCTCTGTGCACACGAGTCATCGGAATGTCTTATGGTTGTTCCTTTATGGGTCATCAGAATACCTTCACAGCTGTCCCTTTTATTGGTCATTCGGATTTGTTAATGCTAAAGGATGTACCACGTACTATGATGTGAAATGTATGAACTTTGAAAATGAATTTGAACATGTATATGAATTTGTTTCTGATTTGAAATCTGAATATGCATAAAACTCTAATTTCTAACTCTGCGACGGACATCATTCGTTAAAACCCCTTTACTTTGTTATTATTCACTGGGCTCCCGCTCACTATTTATATTATGTATGTAGGTTATCAGGTGCAAGACCAGGCCCAGAGTTGATAGCCTAAGATTCTGTTTTGTTAACCACCCTTTGCACCTCTTGAGGAGGTTCCGGATTAAGTCAAGTTTAGTGGCTGTTTTTGTGAATGTATAAGACTTTGTTTCTTTTGCTCCACGAACAAGTTTTTCTGTTTATATGTACATGAAGTGACGTGTAATTACTGTATCTTTTGACGTCACTCGTAAGTTTATTTAAAATTTAAGATTATCTATCCTATGTATGTCTTCACAGTTCGATGGACTATGTATATTTTATGTATTTGCTTCTGTAGCCCCTAATTATATAATATTATGTTAAGAGGCCTTCGGTAATCCAAGGATTACTGGCTGGTTACGACGCAAAACCTATAGGGGCGGGTTTAGGTTGTAACAGAGTGGTATCAGAGCACGTGTTCTACTGCACACACAAGTCCATATGAGCTTAGGATGTCCTAGTAAGAAGTAGGGACATTCCATCTATATGTGTAAATGTGTGTTCATTGAAAGTGAAAACTAAATCTGATTATGACCACAAGATATGGAAACAAACGATCTGAATGTTGTAAAAGGACTATTTGCCTATGTTCATAATGTTCCGTTTACCTATAGCAAATGGAAAATCCAAGAAGAGATGGAACAACTGAATCATCTGAAGCCTGAATGAACATAATGGAATAGATGCTTACAGCTCTGACCGAGGCAATAATGCAACAACAGAGGCAACAACCTTTACCTCCTTCGCCTCTGCCGGTACAGGTTGAACTGGAAAAAAATGACATTATCAACTTGACTCAGAAGTTCATGAAAATGAAGCCACCCACTTTCTTAGGTGGCATTGAGCCGTTGAAGGCAAAAACATGGCTACTTAAGATGGAAAAATTAATCGAGGTCCATCCTTGCTTTGAGACTCAAAAGGTTCTTTTGGCCACCTATACCTTAAAGAATGAAGCTCGTAGATGGTGGTTGCTAGTCCGAAGTAGTAATGAGAACATGACACGGGCTCAATTTAATACAATTTTCTATGACAAGTACTTTCTGCAGTGCTTTCGGGATCGAAAGGTTTTAGAATTTCAAGAACTCAAGCAAGGCAGAATGTTTGTAGCTGAGTACGAGGCTAAGTTTACTAAGTTAGCCAGATTTTCTCCTCATATGGTGGACACGGACTATAAGAAAGCCCGCAAATTTGAGGGTGGATTGGATTTAGATATACTAGATCGGGTAGGAGTCCTCAACCTACCTACGTATGTGAATGTATTGGATAGAGCATTGATGGTGGAAGCCATTTTGGTAGCAAAGAAACAAGCTCTTGTTCCAACAAGTGAATGGAGGGGCAAAAGATCGGGGTCTAATTTCAAAAGAGGTCGGTCATTCTTAAAGAAGCAAAATACGGGATCTTACAGTAGCTTAAGCCAAAGTAGTGGATCTGTGCCGACTTGCTCAGAATGTGGTAGAAAACACAAGGGGGTTTGTTATCGAGCATCAGGTGCCTATTTTAGGTGTGGTAAAATTGGCCATGTGATGAGAGATTGTCCTATCAGGCTCGAAAATACCAATCATCCCACAACAAGTTCAGCTGGATCCACCTCATCATCAAGAATGAACACAAAAGCTAATACCGGGAAGGAAACACTAAGGCAAGGGAGAGTATTTGCTCTAGTACCTGGAGATGTACAGAATCTTGAGCCAGTAGTGTCAGGTATAATTTATATCTGTACTCAGAATGCTTATGTGTTGATTGATTCTGGTTCCACGCATTCATTTGTATCGCATGCTTTTTCTTGGAAATTAACTAGACTGCTGGAACCTATGAACTATTTACTATCTGTGTCTACACCGGCTGGGGGTTCTATGATATGTTGTAGCATGCCTGCGAGGGGCCTTCGCTACAGTTCGGACTCGATTTGTGTCACGGTTCTAAATCTGAACCAAAGAGTCCAAATCCGGCAAATCGTTTTGAGAAACAGATTTTTTTGAAAAGAAGTGCCAAACATGGACTGCTTTGCCAGATACAGAGTCGCCACCTAAATATTTTTTATGGGGGAATTTAGGAAACCCTGACTCGGTGCCGAAGGCCACATGTCCGTCATCACCGGAGTTGTCTCGGCTCGGGAGCTAGGGTACGATTGGAGAAGGTCAGCTATGAGCACCCCCTCTCGCCCGATCCGAAGATCGGCCCTCTACTAACCGTGATATCCGTTTTTGAAAACTTTATATGTTCTTATTCCATTTATTAGCCTAGAATTACTATGTTATGCGCACAGCAAACAAGTATAGACTAGATTGCCTAATTTGGAAACAAGCATTGCATATCCGTTTGTTTTGAAAAGCGCTTTGGAATTTGCTACTCCCAAGTAGGCTAAAACACGGATTTCAACGAGTTTTTCCAACTCAAACAATCCAACCTTCACCCACAGGCATTCAAACAGTAATATCACATAAGCATTTAGCCACACGGCAAACATACTGTCATGGAAACATTCACACGCATGCGATATGCTAAAACATAAATACTTACATCGTACTCCGTGCCAAAACAGGGACATGTTAGCAATCAATGCATGATCCAAGTCCATGTTAAGTGCCTAATGCATCGCATACAAAATGTCACTAGAGTAGGCTCGGCTAGTTTATGAATGGCATGTGAAAATGCACAACTGACATGTATTCAATTCGGAATTTGAAATACAGATGTAATTAGAATGATGCACCGAGCCCGGTGCATGCAAAGCAAATGTATGAATGCACGCATGCATTTGACTAAATACTGTGCCACCATTGACTGTGCAAGTAAATTCGTTGTGTTTAGATCACCTGGTATGCCTGAATTTGTTTTTACTGGAAATGGGGTAGTTCCTCCACTGTACTTGATTTCATTTATGAAAGCCAGAAAATTATTAAGAAAGGGTTGTCGGGGCTACTTGTGTTGTGTGTTGGCAGAGTCTTTGGACGGTACTAAAGTGGAAACAATACCCATAGTCCGTGAATTTCCTGATGTATTTCCTGCTAACCTACTCGGGGACTTAATTGATAGGGAAATTGAGTTTACTATTGATGTAATACCTAGAACACAACCTATCTCCAAGACTCCTTATAGAATGTCCACTTCTGAACTGAAAGAATTAAAAACTCAACTCCAAGAACTGCTAGACAAGAAGTTTATTTGTCCGAGCACTTCACCTTGGGATGCTCCAGTGTTATTTGTCAAAAAGAAAGACGGGTCCTTAAGGTTATGTATTGATTACCATGAGTTGAACAAAGTAACTGTCAAGGACAAGTACCCATTACCCCAAATAGATGACCTGTTTGATCAACTTCAAGGAGCCCAAGTGTTTTTCAAAATTGACCTTAGATCCGGGTATCACCAGTTAAAGGTCAAGGCAGAAGATGTAGAGAAAATTGCATTCAGAACTAGATATGGGCATTATGAATTCCTAGTCATGCCATTTGGGGTAAATAATGCACCTGCGGTATTCATGGGCTTAATAAACAGAGTGTTCAAACAATTTCTTGATGAGTTTATTATTGTATTTATCGATGAGATATTGACCTATTCTAAAAGCAGGGAAGAATATGAGAATCATCTAAGAATTGGTTTATAGACCCTAAGAGTAAAGAAATTATATGTGTAGACGCGCTCTGAGGGCTTTATGTAGTGCTACAGTTCGGACTCAAATGTCACGGTTCTGAATCTAATCCCGCAAAGTGCAATGCGAGACCGATAAATCACCAAAGAGTCCAAATCTGGCAAATCGTTTTGGAAAACTGATTTTTAAGAAAGAAGTGCCAAACATGGACTGCTTTGCCAGATATAGAGTCACCACCTAAATGTTTTATTTTGGAAAATTTAGGAAATCCTGACTCGTTGCCTAATGCCACGTGTCTGTCATCACCAAAGTTGCCTCGGCTTGGGAACTTGGGTACGATTGGGGAAGGTCATCTATGAGCACCCCCGCTCGCCCGATCAAAGATCGGCTTGTGCTAAACATGATATTTTGTTTTGAAAACATATGTGTTCTTATTCCGATTAATTAGCTAGAATTACTATGTGATGCGCACAACACACAAGTATAGACTAGATCGCCTAAGTTGGAACAAAACATCTCGTGTCTGTTTGAAAATGGTTTAAAGGTGCTACTCGCAAATAGGCTAAGACGTGGATTTGCCACCCTCAAGTGGGCTTAAGAAAACATGATTTTGCCACTCCGCAAAGTGGGTTTAAAACACACATTTTGATGAATTGTTCCAATTCAAGTAATCTAACCTTCACCCACAGGCATTCAGGCAGTTATATCACATAAGCAGTTAGCCTCATGGCAAGCATGCTAGCATGGTAGCACTCACACTCATGCAAGATGCTAAAGCATAAGTACTTACCTAGTACTCCGAGCCAAAACAAGAAACTAGTTAGAAATCATGCATGATCCTAGTTCATGTTTAGATGGCTAATGCAACACATGAAAAATGCACCTAAAAATAGGCTCGGCTATTCAAGAATGTCATGTGAAATGCGACAACTCGATACACGTATTCAAGTTGGAATTGAAATACAATGCAGTTAGTATGATGCGCCAAGCCCGGTGCGTGCAATACGAATGAATGTATGCAAACATGCTAACATAAGTATGCTAATCGAAACATGACCTAAAACTAACCATCAAAAGCAGGTAAGTAAAAGGGAGAAAGATGTGGGGTTGGAAGACATTCACACACGCACGCACGCACACTTATTAAAAATTCGCCCTCTTGATGGAGGGTCCGAATAAATAATACAAACCCAAATGATTAATCAATTATCCTAGCTAATTAATTATTACAAACCCTTAATTAATTAACAAATTAATTACAAAAAGGAGGCTGCCGCAGCTCCACCTCGGAGTGATTGAATGATGCATGCTCGATCACCTCGCTCGAAAACCCGTTGCCATGCCACATGTTGCCTCTGTTTGCACTGTTTTGCATCTCTGAAAATTGTGAAATTCCTTAAGATGCTTCTGAAACACTCCCTGAGCATTGTGGGAGGTCACCGGCCAAGAGATGAAGTCACCGGCCATGGGAAAATGATCATCGACCAAAAGTGGAGCTCTCGGCCAGGTTAAGTTAGTCGGCCAGCACTGAAGATGGCCGACCGGCCATCCCTTCCTGCAGAATGCTATTTTTGCTACAGCAGAGGACAGACAGTGCATGGCAGGGCATTTACAAGACAATGTGTGCACGACCACCCTCCCTATCATACTATGAACTCAAGGAAGTATGGCTCTCGACCCTCGGACCACCAATCATGCATTTCAATGCATAATGGCCAAAGGTGCTAAGTGTGCAAATCAATGTGGAGTGAATGCAACAAAACACATGTATGACTAGAACTCTATCATGCTTGATCAAGAGCGTCGACAACCGAGAGGATTGAGGTACGTTTCGTCACTTCAAGTACGAACGTCCCTCATTCCTCATGTTTGGTTTGACACCCCAAACCAAACACAATGCAATGTTATGCAACCTAAGCATGCCAAATGTGATAGGACTCAAGTGTGCACACAAGACTAAGGTAGCAAGCATGCCAAATGCAATACAATCTAAGCATGCAAGTTAAGCTAATGTAACATAAGTGCGCCAAGTATGCAACAATGTTATGTAATGTAACTAGCTAAATATCATGCGATATACCAAACATGCAAACATGATACAATACAAACATGCAAATATCATGAAAGCAAACATGCTCAATGGACTTAAACTGAAATGGGCAGACCTCAGCCATGCCAAAACAGTGGCCAAAGTCATGAATTGGGAGCATGGGAATGCAAAACGAACATGCACATGCAAATGGTCCAACACTTAGGCAACAATGCACAATCTTCAAGCATGAGCAAGATGTGATAAACATGAGAGCATGGCAATGCATTAAGCTCTGAAATCATGTGAGGAGTGATGCCAAACCAAACAAACAAAACAAATGTAGCATGCAAGGAGGCCTAAAGCTTAAGGCTAGTGAAGGGACTTGAACCAAAGCTACACAAAACAAAGGGCACATGGCAAGCATGACCCAAAATAGTCCTAAAGCATGGCAAAGTAAGCCTAAAACATGCAATGACCAAAGCCAAAACAAGCTAAAACAAAGGGGTAAGAACATGAGGCATGTAAGGCTACCAAAGAGGTATTACACTAGGCCTAATACAACCAAACATAACATGTTTTAAGCCAATAAAAATAGAGTTATGGCATGTCAAAATGAGCCCAAAAACCCGCTTAGATGGCATCCCAAAGGCATAAACATGATGGCATACACAATGACACATTCATGAGGCACAGCATACCGACTCTTTAAAACATTAAAGGAGTCACAAGTGGAAGCATAGGAGCATACCATATGGACTGAAATAACATGACAAGTGATGCCAAATCACTGAAATGGTCGAAATAAAGCATGCTAATGACTTTAACACTCAAAGCTAACAACCTAGATTGCATGGTGGCTATACAAAGCATGGCATATGTGACCCCAGCAACCAAAATCAGACCTCAAGCATGGTAAAACAAAGCTAAAAGCTTCTCAAAGTTAAGTCAAAATATGTAAGCATGGTGGTCTAAACACAAGGTGCATGCTAAGGCAAATGAGGGGATTGCAAAACAAGTATATGAAGCATGTAAGAGCCGACTAAACCCACCCAAAATAGAGTCATGGCATGCTAAAACAACACCAAAAACCCACTGAAATGAGGTCAACATAGGCTAAGGAAACATGCTATTATGGTGAGCCAGCAATACAAGCAAATGAGACACAAAGGGAGGGGGGGTCCCTCCCCTATTCAAGACTTCAAAACCAGTTTTACACCACTGAAAATCCTCTAGATTTCAGTGGTTAGAAGGTCAAGACCAAAAGGGTTCAAAGCTCAAAAAGAAGGTCACAAGATAAGGCCAAACAAGGCCTAAGAGGGGGTAGACAACCCCCAACCCAAAAGTAACCTTAAACAAGCATCTCAAGCATGAAAATACAGAACTTTTTTCAGTTGGACACTAAGCTTAAAACAGTATGCAAGTATTGGTAAAAGCTTGAGCAAAAATGGGGAATAAAAAAGTAGTTTCTCACCCTTGAAGAACACTTCAAGAACACCAACTCCAACACCTCCTTCTGATCAAAACCAACTCAAAAACTCTGAAAACAACTCCTTAGTGCCTCAGTAACTAAAGGAAAGTGTAACACTAGGTGCCTTAGTGCAAAAATATGAACAAAAGCATCCTTTAGAACACTATTACACACAAATATAGAAAGAGAAGGAGATATGAGAGAGAGAGTGATATATCTCTAATATCTCAGATTGTTCAACCTCTGGAAAGGGAGGGGAGGCCCTTCTCTTATAGGAAATCCAATTCCAAGCTTCCAAGGGAAGCTAAGTGTAAGGATGAAATCCCTCCATACACGTGTATGGAGGGCAGAGTTTGTGCTCACCAACTGGCACAGCTGGCATGCACAATGCCTAAAAAAGGAAAAGAAAATGCCTCGGCCAGGAAAAGTGGCCGATCGACCAAGAAAATGGCCGGCCGACCAAATACAGTGCCGATCGACCAATACATTTGGCCAGTGGCAAGAAAACAAGGCCGGTGGCCTCAAGCTATGGCCGGTGGGTTGAGGGGATGGCTAACAGGCCACTTCCTACCCTCAGAAGCCAAAAACAAACAAGTTGAGAGATCTTGAGGCAAGGCGCGCAACTGAGACTTCCGAGAACTCAAAACGAACACAAACATGGATGATTATCGAGTGTTCAAACGATGACGTCCAAGTCTTGAGGACGGTAAAAAATGGGGTGTCTACAATATGCAAAAATCTCCAAATGTGAATTTTGGCATGACAATGTGGCATTCTTGGGACATGTAATCAACAAGGACGGTGTCTCCGTTGATCCATAGAAAATTAAAGCTTTTGTGGACTAGCCCAGACCGACAAATGTAACAGAAGTTCAAAGTTTTCTAGGACTTGCAAGCTACTATCATAGATTTGTGAAAGATTTTTCCAAACTTGCCTTGCCACTCACTTAATTGATGCAGAAAGCTACACCATTTGATTGGATTGATTAAAGAGAAACTGTTTTTCAAGTGTTAAAGACCAGGTTAGTAACTGCACCAATTTTGACTTTACCTAATGGTACTAATGGGTTCCAGATTTATAGTGATGCTTCCTACTAAGGTTTGGGATGTGTGTTGATGCAAAGGTAATTGCTTATTCTTGTTAGCAACTCCGTCCTCATGAAAAGAACAACCGACTCATGATCTTGAATTGGCAGCTATGGTGTTCGTTTCGAAAATTTGGCGCCATTATCTGTACGGAGTAACTTGTGAACTGTATACTGACCATAAAAGCTTAAAATATTTCTTTACTAAAAAAGAACTGAACATGAGACAGAGGAGATGGTTGGAATTGATTAAAGACTATGACTTACAAATTTCGTACCATCCAGGGAAAACAAACACTGTTGCGGATGCATTAAGCTAGAAGTCTGTTGGGAATTTGTCATGTTTGCTCAACGGTCGGAGAGGGTTATTGTGTGACTTGGAGAAGAATGAAATTGAAGTGGTTTTGCATGAACATGGTGGAATTCTAGCTGCTATATCTGCCCAACCCATAATTATTGAAGAGATAAGAGACAAACAACTGCAAGATTCATTCTTGAAAAAGATTGTGGATGAAATCGACTCAAAGCCAAGGCCCGAGTTTGTACTTGAGAATAATGTGTTGAAATTTTAAGGTCGCCTTTAGGCTCGGCTATTCTAAGATGTCATGTGAATGCAACTTGATAACATGTATTCAATTTGGAATTGAAATACAATGCGGTTTGAATGATGCGTCGAGCCCGGTGCATGCAAAACAAATGGATGATAGCAAACGGCAAACACGGTGTCTTAGGCGCACCAATGCAAATGCAATGTAAAGAAACACATAAGAGTAAACAAAACAACATATCATGATGTTCGAGTCAAGTCCTCTAAATCCCCAGCGGAGTCATCAGAAACTGTAGACCGCCCGAATTTTCTTCTTGTTAAGACTATTTATAATGCGGACAAGTTAGCTAACATGTATGTGAAAGAAATTATGAGATTACATGGTGTACCAATACTTATTATATTTGACAGAGATTCGAAGTTTACATCAAGATTTTGGCAGAGTTTGCAACAGGCTTTGGGAACCGAATTACGATTGAGTAGTGCCTACCATCCATAGATAGACAGTCAATCCGAAAGAACCAATTAGACTTTGGAGGATATACTACGGATGTGTGTGTTAGACTTCCAAGGGAGTTGGGAAACTTATCTACCTTAAGTGAGTTTGTATACAATAACAGCTATCATTCAAGTGTTGGGATGGCTCCTTATGAAGCTCTGTATGGAAGGAAATGTCATTCTCCTATTTGTCGGGTTGAAGTAGGTGACAGACTTTTGTTGGGCCCAGAACTTGTACAGGAAACCATTGAAAACATGAAATTGATTCGACAGAGATTGAAATTCGCACAAAGCCGCCAAAAGAGTTATGCAGATGTCCGCAGGAGAGACAGAGAATATGAAGTTGGGGATCATGTGTTCATAAAAGTAACTCCTATGAAAGGGAAAATGCGGTTTGGGGTGAAAGGCAAGTTGGCACCAAGATACATCGGGCCATATGAAATTCTTGAGAAAATCAATTCAATAACATACCGAGTAGTCTTACCTCTGGTGATAGAAAACATGTACAATGTTTTTCATATTTCAATGCTTCGAGATTACTTACGAGACCCACTCCATGTGATAGAACCAACTCATGTGCTTCTGAAAGATGATCATACGTATGAAGAGAGGCTAATACAGATTGTTAACCGAAGAATCAAAAGATTGAGAAAAAAGGAAATTCCATTAGTGAAAGTCGACTGGCAGAATCATGGAGGAATCTATGCAACTTGGGAGACGGAGGAAGATATCATGAAAATATACCCTGAGCTGTTTCCTTTGGACCTGGTATTCTTGCAAAATGAAGGTAATTTGAGTTTGGAGGACCAAACTCTTTAAGGGGGAGAGACTGCAACAACCCCGATCCATGATTAACGTTAATCCATGATTTAATATGTCTAATAAGTTATTGAGATCAAATCTTGAATTAATTGCATGTGTGATGCATTATTTGTACTTTTATCTGTCTCTTGTAGGAAGATCTGTTCATGTTTTCATTTCGGTTTGCTAATTGAAAGCCTTATCAGTGTTCGATTCAGAAATTGACTTGATTTATGAGTTATTTGGGATTTATAGAATTTTGTGGTAGGTTTAATTGAAATTCGATTCAGAACGATTAAATTAGAATAAATTAATGCCTAATTGATTAATTAATCAACAAAGTAATTAGGCCATTAGCCAAGCCTATATAAGTCCACCTCAACACCTCAAATACACTTTTTGCACTCCCATTTCCTCTTGATTGGGTTCAAACATGTAGAGAGAGAGACTAAGAGGAGAGTGGCTTCAACATAGGAGTTAATTGAGAATTTGGAGATTTAGCTAGGAATTTCAACCAAATAACTCTAGAGAGACCATAGTTGAGCATCTAAGGTAAGAAATCTAAAACTTAGTTGTATAATTGAGTTAGTTTTTGTAAGAATTCAAGTAAAGGAGGTGGACTAACATGAGAATGAGCTAGGATTAAAGATTGTAGCTCAAATCATACATGCATGTGCACGTCATGAAGTTTTGAAGCTGTTTTTCCAAAAATTCTCACATGCATGTTCATATCTTAGTTTTGTTCAAAGAATTCAACTTGTTTTTGAGCTTAATGATGCATTTGATCATGTTTTGGAAGGTTAGAATTCATGACATTTCATACAAGTTATGTTATCTAAGTTTCAAGTTTTGTTTACTACAATCGGCATAGCTTTTGGGCTTGATTTTGCAAAATAGTTTGTAATTCATCATGTACTGTGAGTTTCTCAATGTTTTACTAAGTTTTGGTCCAAAAGGACGTGTTTTGAAGATTTTGAAATTGAGTTTTGAGCTTGGAAGCAAATCTGAAAATTCCAGAATTTTGCTCCTATGCTCGAGCGAAAGAATCTACGCTCGAGCGACTACTCTGAGTGCGTGTACTTTTGCTCGAGCGTAAAATGCATGCTCCTAGAAGTTCTTTTGTTTTGCAGGCCGCTCGAGCGATAAAAGTTACGCTCGAGCGAGGGCATGTCTCTCACACTCGAGTGAGCATCGAGTGGAAAAATCATGCAACTAGCACTTTTGCAAAAGTTTATAGACCATTTGAGCGACAGATCTTGCGCTCAAGTGACCACTCATATTTTGCATGTCCGCTCGAGCATAGGAAGTTGCGTTTGAGCAAGGACCCTATTTTCAGCAAGTTTTGTTAAGTGTTTTCAAGTATATTTTTGCATCTTCATTCCATCCTAGGCATTCCTAGGCCATGATTAAGGCACAATAATGAGGATAAAAGTAGAGACACACTAAGATAAGAAAAAACAGAGTAAATGTTTCCGGGTGTGTAATTCAGTATATATTTGTTGTGTACCTATGTAGGTCACGCGCCACAAGATATCTAAATTGCCTACCCTATTCATCTGATTGGAGCCATCCATTATTTGTGACTAATAACTCTGTAAAGTTATGTTAGACTTGATTGTGTTTTGATGATACGACATGATTAGTTTCCTGAAATGCTATGTTGTGTATGAATGAATGATTGTCCAAGTTTCTAAAATGTACTCGTGGCATCCATAGCATCATGTGATATTTTGAGTCCCTTTATGGGTCATCAGAATGCCTTTACGGCCGTCCTTTTCATGGGTCATCGGAAATGTCTCTGTGCACACAAGTCATCAGAATGCCTTATGGCTGTCCCTTTATGGGTCATTAGAATGCCTTCATAGTTGTCCATTTTATGGGTCATCGGATTTGTTAACGCTAATGGATGTGCTATGTAATATGATGTGAAATGTATGAACTTTGAAAACGAATTTGAACATGTATATGAATTTGTTTCTGATTTGAAATCTGAATATGCATAAAACTCTGATTTCTAACTCTATGATGGACATCATTCGTTAAAACCCTTCTACTTTGTTATTATTCACTGGGCTCTCACTTACTATTTATATTATGTATGTAGGTGATCAGGCGCGAGACCAGGCCCAGAGTTGATGGCCTAAGATTCTGTTTTGTCAGCCACCCTTTGCGCCTCCCGAGGAGGTTTCGGATTATGTCAAGTTTAGTGGTTGTTTTTGTGAATGTATAAGATTTTGTTTCTTTTGCTCCACGAACAAGTTTTTCTGTTTATATGTACATGAAGTGACGTGTAATTACTGTATCTTTTGACATCACTTGTAAGTTTATTTAAAGTTTAAGATTATCTGTCCCATGTATGTCTTCACAGCTCGATGGACTATGTATATTTTATGTATTTGCTTCCGTAACCCCTAATTATATAATATTATGTTAAGAGGCCTTCGGTAATCCAAGGATTACAGGCCGGTTACGATGCAAAACCTATAGGGGCGGGTTTGGGTCGTGACAAATTTCAATCTCATCATTCTCCAAGTCACATAACAACTCTTTTGACCGGTGAGCAAACATAACAAATTCTTGATTGATTTTCTACTCAATGCATCTGTAATGGTATTGGCTTTCCTCGGATGATACAGAATTTGCAAATCATAATCCTTTATCAATTCCAGCCATCTTCTCTGTCTCATGTTCAGTTCCTTTTGGGTGAAGAAATATTTCAAACTTTTATGGTCGGCGTAGACACCTCATTTTTGACCGATCTCAAGACTTGGATGTCATCGTTTATGCATTTGATGATTTGTTCTTGTTTGTGTTCGTTTTAAGTGCCAGAAGTCCTCGGCAGAACGCCTTGTCTTTGAGCCTCTAAACCTTATCTGTTTTGTGCATGTTTTTGGACCAAGAGCTTGTTGCCTCTAGTCTGGAGGAGTGGGTGACTTGTCGGTCAGCCCCCTAGCCTGTCGGCCAGGGTTTGTTTTTGTTAGCTACCAGTGGTGGCCGGTCAACTATCAGTGGTGACCGACGGCTACCAGTCGTGGCCGACGATCATTGGTCTCTTTTTCCAGATGTTTGTTGACAACTGTGCCAGCTGTTGCTTACTGAGCTGCATCTTCATACACGTGTATGGCAGGGGTGGGCACGGATCGGTTGCGGCCACGGAACCTTTAATCCACCATCCGTCCACCAGATTGGCGGATTGGAGAAAATCAATCCGCATCCGTCCGCCAATCCGGCGGATGCGGATTGGGCGGATTTGCAGATTGGCGGATGGATACGAATCGATTTGGCGGTTGAAAATTTTACAAATTTTCCACATAAAAAAAACAATGAAATTAATAATAGTTTCCTTTCCGTTAAAGATTTTACTAGAAACATGTTGAATCAAGATTAGTTAGAAAAGAATCTAATCTATGAAAAAATTAGTTAAAAAAAAAAGAAATGGGTTGGGCAATTTTCAAAACCTGGGTAATGAAAATAATGAATAACGGTGTATTGGAATGTTCACAAAACCTGGGCAATGAAAAACCTGGGCAATTTTCACAAAACCTGGGCAATGCAAACTTACACATAACTTGGGCACTTAACATACTAGTCTCTTTAAGTTCATAAAAAAATACTCATATGCCTATGTAATTTGAATAACAGTGTAAGTAACTGGGCAATTTTCATCATCCAAAAAAAATACTTATCATCCAAAACCTGGGCAATTTTAACATCTATGTAAGTAAC